TTTGTAGGCTTAGCATACTGTGTGAGTGTTCTGTTCTGCCACCTTTTCCCACCAAGATGTGCCATCTCACCATAGACCCAAAAGCAACAGGAAAGAAGAATGATGGACCAAAGCCTTTCAAACCAAGGGCTAGGTGTGGTGGTGCAATCCTTTAATCCCAGCACTCAGAGATAGAGGGATATCTATGGGTTTGAGCCAGCCTGGTCTATATTTTGAGACAAAACAAACAAACAAAAATAAATAAACTATGAACCCAAGCAAACCTTTCTACAAGTGAATTGTCTCAGATGTGTCATTATAGTAAGCAGAAGCTGGCTAACACGACACTCACATGAAATCCGCTATTTCCTACTAGAGTGAGAGCAGCAGCAGCATACTCTTCAGCTTGTTTACAACATCCAGGCAAAGCCTGCTGGCTACAGAAGCCGAGTATCATCTTGTCAACCTCCAAAGCTGTGGGTCACCACACCCTGCCATGTTCAGGAAGGACTTCCCTTGTCAGTAATGAATGCACACCTGGCCAGGCTGTTGGGTTACTCCATCCTGGTTTTACCGTGACATCGTGAAAGGCTGTCTATGGGCAGTAGGACAAGGGCCCACATGTAGTCCCGGGTAGCACGCCATTGCTAATCATTGGAGTCTAAATTAGACTGGTGAGATGGGATTGACTGACAGCCTGTTATCCTCAACTTCACAGGAATCAGAGCTGGCTTGTGAGGCAAACCATCATGCCTGTCAAGGGCAGGAGGAAACAAAGGGCTGAGGAGGCGAAGGAGGATCAGTGGTGAAGGCTGACTGCTCAGGCATGTTTTATTCATTTTAAACGTTTCTCCCAGGAGAGGAGGAAGCCCAGGCCCAGCACAACGCACTTGCCCAGGACAGGTAGAAAAATAGGCACATGCTGCAATGACCTTATAGTCTATGAAGCCATTTGACCAGCAGTGTTCGCTAAAGTGCTTCAGGGAAGCCCCCTTTCTCTGATGTAAGGTCCTGATGCATTTATAGACTCCCTGGCCAGGTAAGGACAGGCCCACAGACCTCTTCCTGGGCAGAAGATTCCAGATGGAACTAAGACACCTCGATCCTTGGCAAGGGCTTGGGCAAAGGAAAAGTAGCCTCCACCCTTTCAGTTTTTCCCGTTTTAACTATTTTATGTGCATACTTTTCCAGCACTCAGTCCACCGCTGTTCTCAGTACACTTGCGGAGCTGTGCTCGGTACACTGCAGTGCTGGACTCGGTACACTCTCAGTACTGCACTCGGTACACCGCTGTACTCAGTACACTTGCAGAGCTGTGCTTGGTACACTGCAGTGCTGGACTCGGTACACTCTCGGTACTGCACTCGGTACACCCTTGATGCTGCACTAGGTACACCGCTGTACTCAGTACACTTGCAGAGCTGGATTCGGTACACTGCAGTGCTGCACTCGGTACACCCTCGGTGCTGGACTTGGTACACTCATGGTGCTGTACCCGGTACATCCAAGGCGCTATATTTGGCACATTCATGGTGCTGTACAGGCCTCACCTCTGCCCATTTCCAGAAATATTCTCATCATCCCAAACAAAAACTCTCTATTCATTAACCAATAGCTCCATGGTCTTATTGCCCCCCCCCATTCAAACCATGGTAGTCTCTGTTGTTTCCCATCTGTAAAATTATCTATTCTACATCTCTCATACATGTGGAATCATGTACCTTCTACTTGTAATCTTATCTGGCACACTGTCTGTAAGGTTCATCTATGTCATGGCTTGTGTTAGTAATTCATTCCTTTTTAGGGTTAAGTACTACTCATCTACTCATCTGTCTGTAGGTAGACACACTTTTCCCCTTTTGGTGGGTATTGTGGCAGATACTACCATATACATTGTGTTTTCTGTACATTACATAAGCACCGTGTTTGCTATGAGCAAGTGTCTGTTTAAAGGCACCACCTGCAATTCCTTTGGATATATACCGGCAGTGGAATTGCTAGATCATGTGGTACTTCTATGTTTAACTTGCTGAGAATCTGCCAAACTGCTTTCTGAAGCAGCTGCACCCCTTTACAGTCCCATCAGCCCTGGAGGGCTCCAATCGCCCCACATTCCCGCCAACACTGGTTGTGTTGCATTTTGTCCTTTAAACAACCGGTGGGACAGACGTGAAGGAGAATTAGGTGGGCTTTAATTTTCATTGCCATACTTCTTCTAATTGAATCATTAAGGGTTCTGCTGCGTTTTTCTCAACTCCTGGCACAAGGTGTGGGTGAAGCCCATTCCCTGACAAGTCTGGGGGGGGGCATTGCAGCAATCTCAGCTTGTAACTGTCATACCCAACACCACACAAAGACGGATTGGGGTTGGAGCAAGGCAGACACCTAATCGAGAGGGCACCTTGCCCCCCTTACAGAACAGCTTGAAGGGGTGCTTTCCTTTTTTAAATATAGCAGCATCAGAAAGCTGTCTTACAGCGAGCAGGCAATTCTCCCATCAAGCCTGTGGTGATAGAGGAGGAAGACAGTCTCATGACTGTCTGAACGGAGGGACAAAAGCACCTACCCAGGCCATGAGCCTTTTGAGGAAGAAGCTGATGGCTCTGAACTGACAGCAAGATCAGTAAATTACACCTAGGGTGACTGGAAAGAGACGGATCTGGAGGCATCAATCACATGAGCCCTTCCTCTAATGATTGGCCCATGGCCGCAGGCCTCCTTTATGCTTTGACATAAAAAGGCCACAGACCAGAGTGCATTTCTCTTTAGAACGAGTTGCTGCTGATGGCATCTCGCCTTGATAATGCTCTAGAGGAGGGTGTCTCTGATGCTGGGACTGATACTGGTGGCCTTCAGGGGGGAAAGGTCATGGCCCATGTTCTTGAGTACTTCCATAAAAGATAGTCTGATGCGCCATTACTGTGTCTGTGTGCTCCTGAAGCTGGGAGATTTGTTTGATGCCATGGAAGTTGAGGCAAGAAGATCAATAGAGGCAAAGGTTCCCCAAAGCTGGCTTGAGGCCTCTTACTCGAATTCAGATCAACAGCAGCGAAACTGCCCTTTACCTGCCCTGCTGGCCCAAGTTCCAGATCTACCTTGTCAGTGGGTCAGGAAGAGCAATATTTACAGAGAGCACAAACGTAGGATCCAACTTTGAGCCACAGAGGGGCAGATATCACCTTCAGAAGCCCACTACTAGGATTGGGTATGGTGGTACACACCTTCAATCCAGCCCTTTGGAGGAAGACGCAGGTAGGTCTCTGTGACTTTTAACACAAGCCTGGTCTACAGGGAGTTCCAGACCAACCGGGATTACACAGTAAGTCCCTTCCTCAAAACAAACAAACAAATAAATAATTTTTAAGGAAGCTTATTATTAGTGACCCACTTCCATCAGCCAGGTTCCACCTCCTAAATGTTTCACAACCCTCAAATGAACACCCCAAGGTGAAGACCTACAAGAAAATATTAGCCCAAGCAGGATAATTCACATCCAGACCTTCATGGTTTCTAAGGAATAACATTTACAAGACATAAAATCTGGATAGTCTATTTAATTACCTTTATCTCTGTCTTCACAGAGGTTCCCTGAGAACTTCTTCAGGGTTACTGCTCACCAGTACAAACAGCACTTCAAAGTCTGTCAGACAGCGGCTTCACAGATGAGAATTCTGAAGGTGCTAGGATTTTCTTTTTCTCCCACTCAGTAACTGTTAGAACAAACACTGGGCAGTGTCAGGATTCATTCTGTCTTGCCTTGATCTAGGAATCAGCCGCTCAATTCCAGGAACTCCTCAAGGAGCCACTTTACATGTTTGTTTTCTGCCAAGAGTTTTATGAAGATGTTCTTTCTCTCTCTTTGGGGTTATTTGAAAAGCTAAACAACCAATGAATGGTGGTGATGTCAGATTTGAGCTCATTGTTTTCATTACCTATTCTCTTAAGCTGTAGAAACTTTTTAAATTTTAGGAAGTGGGACAGACATGAAATCCAGTGGTCTGGCTTTCCTAAGTCCATAAAAATAGAAGCATATAACAGCCATCAATCATAGACATGAAACCCTGTGTCAACTCTACAAGAATACTTCTGTCCAGCTACCCTCTGTTCTTTCTTGTTATATGTCATGTGACCCAAGGACACCACTTCTGAGGATTCCAGCTTTGAGTCAAGTTCAGCCCCCATCCTCCTGCTGTTTCCTCCCCTTGAAGCCAGAAAAGGCTAAATCCGGTGTCTATATCCTTCCAGCCACCTCTTCCTACACATCCCTGAAAATTTGGCAATACTTTCCCATCTGGAGGTTGCTCTTCACTCTTCCTGACTTGATCGTATAGTTCTTGCAGAGCTGAGTCTGTCTGATGGAAATCTTGTTCTAAACTGCTCGCTGCTCCCCAAATTAAAAGAGAGACTTTGCCTATCCAGCTTCCCAGATCCTAAGCATCCTAGAGTGAACTTCCTAACCCGAGGCCCCACATATGATCAGGCTCTCCGTTCTTGGAGAACAGCCCCACCTCTCATCACTCTGTAGTCATCCCCCAACCAGTTTCGCTTCAGGCCATTGCCCACACAGCCTACTCCTCTCTATACCACTGTCCTGGGCTTCCTCCAATCGCCTAGCATGAGGCCCCAGCATGCTCTCCTTCAGCTGCCCAGCCACAGCAGCACCAGCATCTCTTTGCCCTTGATGCCTGCTGCTGGGTTGGCTTCCCAAATGCTGTTTGCATATGACTCAAAGAGTGAGTCTTCCAAGACTTGTTCTCAGCTCAGGGGAAGAAGAGAACATGTTCTCCTTTCCAGCAAATCAGCCCTATGCTAGATTTGCACCAACCAAATCCCCTGGAGAATGACGGGCCACCAGAAGACCAGCAGTAAGGAACTGCTGGTAAAGGCACATACACTCTGAGATCAAGCTTAATTAAAGAACATCTGTGTCATTTGGAAGTGATGAAACCTTATTAGTATCTCATTGGCTCATACCACTTCTGGGTGAGCTGGAGAACCAAGAACAAAGAAATTGAACAAAAGGCAGCTATTTTTTTTTAATTTTTCATATCAGTAAGCTGGTGGTCATGTCTACAAATGACAAAGCTGATTTAAGTTATCTTAGTTGCTGTCACATGGAAGATTTAATTGGATCACAGAGCCGGAGAAGGAGTTGAAGCGACGAGCAGAGAGCTAGACTAGAGGCCAGAGTTCAAATACCCCAAGACCTTCCCCTGAAGACTTGGTGTCCATCTGGAGCACAGTGGCACCTGCAAGGAGTTGGAACACATTTAGAAGCTGTGGTCATGCAATAAACCCCAGCATTGCCTACAACTCTGCTGCAGTAAGGCAATCTTTCGTTTACAGACACAGTAAATGTGTGTCTAGCTGGAGGGTCAGTGGCATAGGAATTTCATGGGAATGTCTTCACTTGCTGAAATCTAAACTTAGCTATGGTGTTTAAATATTATCTCTTTGTGTTTAACTGCAATTGTGCTTTTACCTTTTTTCTTAGAAACAAGTAATTAGGAATACATATTTATATATCTCACACATAATAGAAATGATAGAAACCTTAAAAGGTGCCCTAGGAACAGATGGTAGTTTTAGAACAAAACAGATCCATTAGCTGTCAAATCCAGTGGGTGAAAACTAGAGTGGGTTCTCAGGTAGTGCTAAGAAAAGCTCCCACTTATTCTAATACCTTACGGTGCAGATTCTTTTGTTTAAAAAATGGCATGGGAGGCCTGTGATGGCTCACAATTAATGAATGTAACAAATTACAAATGAAATAAAATGTTTATCTGATCAAATGATGTGAAACTTAATTCAAACAACATATTTAAAGGTGGTATACTTGACTTGGGACAAAATGGCACAAATTTCCAGATAAGTTTAGCTTTTCTGTCTCCATTCACAAAAGGGAAGAATGGTCTTCCATTTTATTAGAGTACTTTTGTGACTAGAGGAGCTCTTATCATCCTTACAGATAAAGGAAATGGTTTTTCCAAGGCCAGACAACTGTTTCAACTAAGAGCAGGAACTCGGAGTCAAGTCCCTGATCCGGTTCCTTTCTCCCACCTCCACCAACACTAAGCAGCCATTTCCCAACAGGATGTATTCACCAACACTCCTATCAGAGTGGCTGTACATGTGTGTTCATGCAGCTCTACTTGTCTCTATGAGCAACTTTACACTAGTGTGTGTGTGCATGTGTGCAGGTTATAGGTTGATGTAATGTGTATTCTTTCTTCATCTAGTCTCTGATGTTGACCTCTGGCTTCCATATGTGCAGCAACACATGTGCGTGCACTAGCCCATGAATACACAGTGTACACACACACACACACACACACACACACACACACATACACACACACACACACACTCAAGCAGAAGGAAATATAAACACAAAACACCAGTGAGCCACATCAGGAGAAACAGCTAAGGCCAAAGCCTGCTTCCTACCAGCCTCTTCATGTGTTTGAACGCTTCCCCTCTCATTCAGAGCAGGAACCAGCGGCTACTCCTGAGCTTGAAATGAACTGCATTGGATGATCCAGATGAAAGCTCAGGTCTGTTTGTTTGTGGGTGTGTCCAGGATGTTAGAGGGCCCAGGAGGAAGCTCCATCTCTTCCAAATGTGCCAGTATCTTTAACTTGAGTTTCCATGCCCCTGGTCCTTGTGACAACCGGGCCTATGGGGAAAATCCAACTCCAGTGTTGAAGGGAGTCCTCTGTTACTTTGTTCCAACTGATTGTTTTTGTAACCAGGAAACTCTCTGTAATTTATACACTGCATGAAGCAATGGTGATGTCATGAGAATGCCTCTGGCCCTGATAGATAAACTGGACCAGCCTGAGAATCAGTGCTCTGAGCAAGCTATACATTTTCACCTCTCTATTTTCAAGTCACACGGCAGATTCCTGCTGTCTGTCTGTCAGAAGGACAGCAGGATAAAGGTAGCAGAATGGCTCTCAGGTTTTTGGACTGAGGCTGGGGCAGCAATATTTTGCGTAGAAGTCGATTGCGTCCCCCAAGGCTTCATGTAGTGACGTTAAATCCCCATCATGAGGCATTAAGAGTGTGAAGTCATCATCTGGCTATGGTGTTCAGAGATGAGCTCTCTGGAAATTGGTTGGGATTATATAAGGTTATTAGAATAGATCCCTAAGAAGACATACATACATACATACATACATACATACATACATGCATACATACATACACAAGCAAAGATCCTCATCTCTACCATGAAATGCTGCTTTGGGACTCTGCCAGCAAGGATATCAGATGTGAACATTTGAAGCTCTGGAATGGTGAACTGTGTGAACCTCTTCTCTATATAAGTTTGCTCGTCACAAAAAGAGAAACATGGCATGTACTCTTTCATATATGGAATTTAGACATAGATCTGGGGAGTGCCAGCCTACAATCCCATGGCCAGAGAGTCTGGGAAACAGAACCTTCATTCAGTGGCTGATGGAAGAAGAGGCAGACTCCCATGGCTAAGCACTGAGCTGAACTCAAGAAAGCCAGTAACAGAGAGGGAGGACTGATGACCAAAGGGATTAAGACTGGGCTGGTTTAACCCCCAGAAACAGCTGACCTGACAAGGGTTGGCTCTTGAATCCCAGGCTGATGCCTGGGAATCCAGCATGGGACTGATCAAGACTCCCTGAATGGGGGTGTCAGTGAGGAGGCCTAGGTAATCTATTGAGCCTTGGGCAGCAGATCAGTACCCATCCCGAGTATACACACAGACTTTGGACTCCCATCCAACAATGTGAGGTGCACTCTCACCCTGGACTCTTGGGGAAGGGTCTAGGCCCTGCCCTGGATGAAATGACAGACTATGGACATCCCCATTGAGGGCCTCACCCTCCCTGGGGAAATGAGGGGTAATGGAGGGTTAGGGGAAGGGACCTGGAACTGATTTGTGAAGCAACCTTGTTTCTAATTTAAATATAAATTTAAAAATAAATAATAAAAAAGAAAAAAAATAAGTTTGCTCATCTCAGGTATTTCATGACCCCAATGGAAAGCTGACTATCAGGAGCCTTGGAGAGGATCCTCGCTCTTCCCACTAAGAATAACATAGTGCAGTCGAGTCACCTCTCAGACTCTTCTCCATTCCTTCTATTTTTGGCAAGTGGCACCTGATTGACAAGTTGAGACAAAGAGCTGAACATACTCAGGCAGCATCTTCTTCCCCCCTCTCTTTGAGTCAACACACATGTTATTGGCCAGCTCTCTAGAATTATGAAGCACTCATCTTGTTTTGGGCTAGAAAAGTCTAATTGAGAAGTAGTATGTTTAGCATTAATTGCCAAATTGACAGAAAGACCTCTAGCACACCCGTGATTATCTAGATTAAGGTATCCTCTGAGGTCCGTGAAGAATTGTCTTCATTATGTTCACTGACTAGGAAAGCATATCTCAGGTGTAGGCAGGGATACCCTGGATTATGTAAAATGGAGAAAGTAAACCAGACACCTACATGCATTCATGGCTTCTGCTTCTTGCCTGTGCATGCCATGTGACCAGCTCATGCATGCTCCTACTTCTGTGACTACCCTGCCACAGTAGGCTATAACCTGGAACTGTAAGCCAACAAACCCTTTCTCCTTGTCTAACTCAGAAACAGGGAAAGAAACTAAGACAAGAAATAAGCCCACTTTTTTGCTTGTTTGTTTGTTTTTGTTTTTCTGAGACAGGTTGCACTATGTAGCTCTGCCTGACCTGAGACTCACTGTGTAGACCAGGCTGGCCTCACAGAGATCTACCTGCCTCTGCCTCCTGAGTGCTGGGATTAAAGTGTGAGCACCATACCTGACTCAAATCCCACTTTTTTAGTAGACTTAAATGCCATTCTCCAGTTCATTGTACTGATGGCTGGAAAAGTATTTGTAATTTATGATCACGGTATCAGAAAACCCACCTGGCCACTAGGCATCAATCTGTCAGTAATACAATGTCTTAATTTTTCTGAATGTGAGAGAGGAAAATTGGGGTAGAGAGGATAGAGGGCTTATTTATTCAGGCCCAAAGGGAAAGGATCAATTTAGTGCCTGGAACTTTTTCTGGATTTTAGGCATTACTTAAAGTTAGTGAAGGTAAAGAATGGTTCTAATGAAAATACTCAAAGTAACCTGGGCATAAAATTATAAATAGAAAGGCTATTTTAGAGTTGATCCTACTCAGACTCCCAATGAGATCATTAGTATTTGAATAGAAAGCCAGGTAGCCATTCTCACCACCAGAAGTTCAGGGAAAAACCACCTTTAGGGTTTCCAGAACGTGTTAGCATTCTCAGTGGGCAGATCTCCCAACTCATTCCTTCACCAGAATGAGCTCAACAGCCAGCCAGCCTAGTCTCAGGTTCTAAAAGCTAGTTTTGGAGATGGCAAGATAAAGGCCCCAACTCAATTTCAGTCTCTTTTAAGCATAACGAACTTCAGAAATACAATGAACAAGAGGCAAGACCTGGATGAAGTCCAATTGGTTTTTGGACATGCATGGGAAGAAGAGAAGACAAACATGAAAAATGAGCTTATGTCCCAAGGAAAGATGCAATATATGAAGCATGACTGTCAGTCCCAGGGGATCTGAATGTCCAGTCTGCAAGGAAACTCTGTCAAGCCTTGGGTGACAGTTCTTGACTGTCTTTTGGGTTCTATGGTGGATACAATGGATTGGGGTCTGTGAGGTGTTGAGCACTGGGCTGGGCTGAGGCTTGGATCCCAGGCCAGTGTCCACATCCTTGATAAAAAAATCATCTTCTGTTTGTATAGCAGGGGAGACAGGAGCCTGAGCAGCCTTCTTCCACCTGTTCTGAGTGGGTCTCCATTCAACAGTAGACCTGAACTATGGTATGATATTGAAGGCTCTCTCCTAGGAAACAGAGCTCATGGAAGAGTCTCCTCCTCCAGCATCCTGAAAAGTACCTTTTCCCTCCCCACCTGCTCAGGCTGCCCCATTTGGCAGCCACATTCAGAATTACTGCTGTGTTCCCATCTGCTGAATCCCCTCAGAACATCAGGGATGAGAGCTGTGCCCTGTGGATGCTTCCTCCACCTTTTTTTTTAATTTTTACTAATAACTGCCTAAGGACAGAAATACTGGAAGACATTTTAGGAAATCCCTTCTGATACATGAAATTACCTAGAGTTCACTGGAGAGTTGCTGCATAGGACAACCAAGAGTCCCCATGATTCTCTTAGCCAGTGTTGTCTGACTTATTCCAAGTGGGCAGAATTTACTCCAGATG